AGTTTTCTAGGCTTTCTGATACATAGTGCATCTCCTGATGGGACTTTCTCTGTAGTTTACTTGATATAGTTGGTTAATTTATCACACTTATAGCATCCCTGCACATTATTGTATTTAAAGTGTATGTAATGTATGATCCCTAATGAGGTACAGACCTTCTGTTATGGGGTTGGAGGAAGTAACCATTAGACTACAAGTGTGGTGATATTATCACCCGAGTACAACGTACTCCATTGAGAACTGCAGCAGTAGAAGATGGGACTTGAATGGATTGACGCTACTGTGAGGGCGGAGCCACTTACAGCTGTGCCGAATTAAAAATATACTGAAGCCTGCAGGGAGAAGTATTCTGCTATTTAGGTAAGTAGGGGAGAGGTTAGAAGGTGGTGGGTCACAGAATGACACCTTGTCACACCCTAAATATGGGTGTAACATGGAGCAAGGTATGAAATGTGTGCTTAATGTTTAAGTTCTCTCTGTGAACTGCAACCCCCCCCCCCCCTCCCCCCCATGAGAGGGGAGGTGTTCTGTTGTTTTAGCACACTTTCTGTCCTAGAGTGACAATGTTGCTTCTTCTTTTACACAGTACAGTAAGGGAGCATTGTCACCAGAATTGTGTCACAGGAAGTGTGTTACAAACAGGTTTACCAGGTAAAAATAAAGGAAAAAGTCTGAAAACAGAAAACAAATGCAGCCACCACATCTAAGGACTGGTAATCTGCAATATAGACACTCCTCGGTTTACGATGAGGTTATGTTCTGATAAACCCATCAAAAGGCTATTGTAAACAGGGGAGTGTACTGCAGCATGCTGTACTGCCATGGTCGAAAGCAGAAGCAGAAAAAGCAGCAGAAAGTACAATGGGGAGCAATATAGCCAGACTGCTATTGGCTATTTTAAATTGCAATAAGAGGCTGGCTATTGAAGCCCCACCCACTAATAGGAGGAGTGGACCTGAGAGAAAAAGTGCTCACTCAGGTCCGCTCCTCTTCTCAGTGGACGGGTGTAATAGCCAGCCTGCTATTAGGTATTGCAATTTGAAGAGAGTCAATAGCAGTCTGCAGAGGCAGGTCTTTAATTAGGCAAATTAGGCTGTTGTCTAGGGCCTCGTGCTCTCAAGGGCCTTGCGGCCGCCTAATTTTCCCAGCATTACCTTGCAGGCACAGCCAGGCAACCTTCTGAGCTCTCAGCCCTGTTGCTGTCAACCTGAGAACTCATCCGATTCCTCCGTCTATCCACTCTGCCTTCTGGAGCTCCACCCACCAGCCAATGAGGAGAGGCGCCAACTGTCCCATTCACCGCACGAGGATCTCAATCTGGCTGGAAAGACGGATTTTATCGTCAGAGGCAGTTCACATGGTTGGCACGAGACATGGCCTGCACTGCCCTGGTTGCACCCAGCACGCACAGTCCTGGTGAGAAGCGGCCTGCACAGCCCAGGTGAGACCCGGTCCCGGCCCACACAGCATTGGTAAGACCCCATGGAGCACTGGTGAGACCCTACAGAGCCCTAGTGAGACCCCACAGAGCCTGGGTGAGACCCCCACATAGCTCTGGTGAGACCCTACACCAGGGATCTGTGGGGTCTCACCAGCCTGGTTAGACCCCACAGGGCCCCAGGGAGACCCCACAGAGCCCTGGTTAAACCAGGGCTCTGTAGGGTCTCACCATGGCTCTGTAGGGTTCTGTAGGGCTCTGCGGGGCCTACTATCCAGGCTGGTGATACCCCACATAGCCCTGGTGAGATCCCCACAGAGCCCTGGTTTAACCAGGGCTCTGTGGGGTTTCACCAGGACTCTTTGGGGTCTCACCAGGGCCCTATAGGGTCTTACTAGCCTGGAAGGAGACCCCACAGAACCATTATGGGCCTGAGTGGGGCCTCATGTTTAAGTTTCGCCTTAGGCCTCGCAAACTGTAGAACCACCTCTGCCAGTCTGGCTATTGCTCCCGGCATCTTTCATTTATCTGTTGGATGCGGAAGCTAGCCAGCAAGTGAATGGTTTTACAGGGGAATCGAGGCACCTCGGGGATGGTTGCTTGAGTGTTACCATTAACTCTCAAGCAACCAGAAACTACAGTTATCGGGCACCTACCGATCCCCGTGGGTGCTGATTAACTGGGAGTTTACTGTACAGTACTATACAGTAAATTCCATCATAAATGCAAAAGATCATAACTCGATCATTTGCAACCCGAGGTGCATCTGTATAACATTTCTGTTTTTGAGTTTAGATACACATTAAATATAAAAACAACCAAAACCTAAAATGTTTACAAACAATCCTGAAATGTTACAGAATTGCCTCTATTTATTTCTAGTCAAAGCTCATCCATGTCACCCTGCCTGCAGTCAAAATATTTTATTGTAGTTTTAGACCTAAAAGGAAAAGGGTTAACATCTCTGTTAGGTTTATATTTGTGTCTGTGACCCCACTGAAGAGCTTTTAGAAGGAGCAGTTGTCACTGAGACAGGAAGGCACAGACAGTAATAAAAACATTGTCATACGTCCTAACCCTTCCACACTCGACAAAAAATATTTTTATTGTATCACCATTGGAGGTTTTTCTATCCTTATCCTCACAGGAAGTAAGGGAAAATCCCTGGAATAGGGACAAGTAATAAAAACCTGACAGAGACTCTAACCCTTTCCAGCTCCAACCAACACAACAATAACATGGTGTTGGACTTTAAGTCATCAAGCAGGCCCTTGGTGTCCTCACTTACAATGCAGGACTACTAGCCCTACATTTTATGGGATGAAGGCAGAGTGCCAGTGACTAACAAACTGGCTTGGGTGCACCAGTTATGCAGCTGGAAGGAAGCCTGAGGAAGCAAGGGAGGCATAGTTGCTTTTTATGTTCCCCTAGACAAAATACGTATTCCTGAAGTTTAGCCTTAAATTATATCTAAAGACTATTTTTGGGGTTATAACACCTGGCTGCTGGCTCCTGTGAGCCCTTTTTTGAGTTCTTAACTCCAGGAGTCAGAAGTGGGCTTCTCGATTATCTGATCACTGTAATTAGTTGTCATAGCGGTCCCATGATTTGGAGCTGGTCCTATCAGCTCTTGATTGTAAACAGTGGCTGGGAGCTGGGTGTTGGTGACAGCCCAGTCACAGTGCTGGGAGCACAGGGGTTGAAATCCTATCTATTTTTTTGTTGTCTGTGCCCCTACATTTTCAACACTTCCTCAGTTTATCCCGAGCTTTCTCATTTTTTTTTAGGAACCTTTATAATACTTTTTAGGTCTTAGGGAACCCCTGATAAACCAGTTCATTGGGACTAGGTGGAATAAATGTTGCTGACATTGGTTGTCAGTGGGAGAAACCCTCTTACAATACTGGTCAGAAAGCCAACCTAACAGACCGCTAAAGGGATCACTGGTGTTTTGCCATTGGCCCTGCCAAATAACATTGGGCCTTGAACTAGGCCCTTGAACTAGACAGTTCAGCCACAGCCCAAGGAGCCCCAAGGTAATTCTGGAGGGACCCAATGGTTTCACATAGCCCTGGACGAGAATGGCTCGTCTATCTTACCATTAAAAAAATTTTTTTGTCTAAACATGGGAGATCCATTCATAAGACCTCATTAAAAAATCAAGAGGACTAGCTAAACTCTTTAGATAGCACCACACTATGATATGACGGTAGGTACACTATAAATGTGGATGGTTTGCCAAGAGCAGCACTAATCAGAATTTAGTCTGGATTCTTCTAGTAAAAGTATCTGATGGGTGATATTAGGAACAGCGTCACTTTTCCTTCAGCTCAAGTTTTTTTATATCAGTCCAGATGCCAAACTAAGTTGAACATAAGTTGCCTGGCAGGGTGCATTATTAAGTGTCAGGTGAAGTCCACAACCAACACTCAACAAGGTACAGCTAAAGATATTGGTAAGGTGAATTGATTGCGTTATATTGATCATTGGTGAAATAGTTCTTTGAATAATAAGACAAAAGTTAACATTTATGATATCTGAGGAATATGAACTTTTTTTTTTCCAAAAACTGATCGATATTTGACCCATATAATTTTCATGAATACACACAAAGCACAATAAAGCTTTAATGCTATTAGATGTAACACCTCAAATGATACATTTTTATGTCTTTTATCACTTTTTTGCATATTAAACATTCGTAGCAAATATTTACATCTCTTTCGCATTAAACATGTTGCAATTTAAAGGATAATATTTTGTATCACCTAAAAGAGAAGCAGTATTTGTTCCCCTTCTGCAACACAGTTTGCTGCCTAGTAACTACACTTGATTGACAGTTACATGCTCATTACAAGTGTGAAAGGGAGGACATTGTTACAAATGGGAAATAGGAAAAAAAGATGATAATTTCAGCTGTCAGATTGCTGTATAGGGATAATAAAGTATGACTGACACCTTCAATAAAGATAAAACAAAACAGCACAGAAAAATAAAAGCACCCTATAGGGCTGACTTCATATTAAAGAATATGCAATCGTTTTCATCCAATAATGAAACACAAGTCATAACTGTGAATAAGCGCAGTGTTAAGTAGCTTCTCTAACACTATCAGACATATTCAGTAATCCAGTACAAATGATGTGCTCAATGCAATAACCCATAGCGACCAGATTTAGAGTTTTCTGCGCGCAGATAGGACATGATTTATGACCGGAAGCTATGGGTTTCTAAACTCATCATTACATATTGCGTTTCTTTATTAAATAGGATTTTATGAGGTCGAAGAGATTTGATTCCCAGAGACAGTTTGCTGTTACTACAACATGCTGGACAACTATCAGAACCTAAGAACCAATGGCAACAGGTATCCAACCATCCATCATTCCTGAGCAAGGTCACCATGGATGGTTCTGCAGGTGGTCCTAGTGTATAAAGGTTTATGTACTGTTACAGTGGAAGCATTTATACCTTGCGTCTTTTGGCTGGAAGCTTGCTAGTACTAACCAGCCATGGGAAATACATGATGATTTAATATAGGTGTTGGCTATCATTTCCCTACCTTCAGCAGGTCTGGGCTTGCGGCTCTCTCTTTCTTGTAGCACAAAGGCAGGTGAAAATGCTAGTGAGATGCTAAGATGCTGGTCCGTTACCCGGCTTAGCACTGGCTTCTTTCAATCTGCTCCAGCAGCCTGTATTGAGTCGAGTGTCTCATTTCTTATCTTACTGCAGGGGGAGCATGTGCATGAGCAAGGGAGACAGGGAGGGAGCGATGTAGTCAACTGGAGGGAAGCTGCAAGACAAGAAAAAGAAATAAAATCAGCCAAGACAAACGCAACACTCAAGCACAGCATAAGAGCAAAAGGGATGAATCCAAGGGCAGTGATCAAATGAAGAACAAACATTGAAATACCTCTGCCTGCATGCAGTATGATAAAGACGGATCAGGAGTAACAGTAAAAGCATATATTAGAACACATTTGTGACTGATGATTTTATTAGGCGAAACCCTTATTACAACCTGCACTCAGTTATACTGTACTGTGTATGCCCAGCCAAAACATATATTATTAATAGTACAATTCTAATTCTTAAGCTGGGTTCACACAGAGAGAGTTTTGTACAGAAGTTTGTATGAATTTGTTATTTAATTATATTATTATTATTTTATTTTGTTTTGTTTTATATCCCTGTATCTATGTTAAAACCTAAATAAAAACAAATTTAAATAGAAGTTTGTATGAATTTGTTATTTAATTATATTATTATTATTTTATTTTGTTTTGTTTTATATCCCTGTATCTATGTTAAAACCTAAATAAAAACAAATTTAAATAGAAGTTTGTATGAAAAGCGATTTGATGAATGTCGTTCTAAATTTAGTTTGATTTTAACATTGAATGTTGGTATGAAGGGAGTTTCTTAAATGAAATCCACATTCTCTGTTCAATATTCGCTCATTCGAGAAAAATTTCCCATCCTGCTTCTTTGTTTTTCATCACTACAGTCAAAATCAATCGTCATTTTGAATCCATTAACTATTTTCAAAAAATTGGGCAACTATTACGAAAACATATTTCTGACCAAAATTCTAACTGTGCATAACAGGCCTGACTGAGTGAATGCCCAATATACCCTTCATTCCCACATACATTAACACACTACACAAACAATTAAAATTAACAAGTTTATATAAAATTGGAAGTGAATGGCCTCAGCAATCTACAATGACAACAACAATAACAGAACATTACAAGCAAAACCCGTACATATACCCTAAACCCTTCCAAATAATATAGTATACAACGTATAAAGTGCAACAAAATTAAAATGTGTAACAAACCAGTGCTGTCTAAGGTCCCTGACAAGTGCCTAACATCCCCCTCTCTCTTACGGAGGGCTGTATCATGACTCTGAAACAATGTATCATTCACCTGTAATAGCCACTAAGTGGCTATGCACATCAGTTCTCCTCCCGGCTACTGAAACTGTTCAGCCCCAGTAGCCACACCATCTCTACCTCCATAAATTCTATTTTCCTTCTGTGATGAACCAGACCTTGATCATAAAAATGATGGCACTACCAGGGACCCACCTCTATGGTAAAGACGTTTAAAAGCCAATGGAAATAATCTAACTAAAACCCATGTATCCCTCCTCCTGATGCCACATTTGGTGGCAACTAACTATTAAAACAGAAACCAACCCTTATTGCTAATGAAGTGTGGGTGGGACTTACTCCTCTTGCTCTGCCACCACAAAATGGCTCTCTGCCTGCTCTAGCTTAAGAAGTCTACCCTCAATCTCCTCCCACTGAAGATAGCCCACCTTCCAACTTCCATCAGGTTTTACTACTATCCTGGGCTCTGTTGGTAAGATTTCCCCGCACTTGTGTTCCTGATGACCCAATGAGGAAACATCTTCAACAGCAACACTGAAATAAAAATCTGACTAGCCTTCTCCTATTCTATATAAAAAGTAGTCTATCAAAACTGTCTATCACCAGTACAGAACTAAGGGGAAGTCTCTCTGACAGAACCCCTGATAGCATTAAAAACACATCTGGGCTTCTAATCCTTCCACTTTAACCAAAACTGGAAAAAAACCTCATTTATTACCAGACAAATGCTTTAAAGATGGAGTCTAGGCAGATGAATGGATTTATGCAGCTTTGTAATAATTACTACATCATTACATCTATTTTTTAAATGCAAGCAGTGGAAGGACCTGGCATCAACCTTTTGCAGTCCCTATACAGTAGAGCTGGAGTATAACAGGAATACACAATACAGCAATGCAAAATACCACTGCCTATATAGGACTACAAATCCCAGCAATAAATTATATAGCAATGCAAAATACCAAGCTAAAATCTTTACAAATTAGGTAATTTTAAATTAATATAATTATTGAATATATTATACACTTTTAAATACAGAGCATGGTTGTATTAGCAGGGTTTATTACTAATGTATCCTTCTCTCAACCACAGCAACCTACATGATAACTTAATATATTTTGAGATCTTCCCATTTTGGGTGTAAATATTCACATTCATGAATAAATACAGTATGTATCTGGTGTGGGATCCCTCCTTAACTTCAGAAAGGCCCCTGGCCACCTTTGATTTGCTTTGAAAGGCCTCTGCCCACCTTTGCTCAGATGGACAGCCTGGGGGGCATTACTGAGGAGCTAAAAGATGAAAGTATCAGTCATTGAAGTGCACATGTGGAATAGAGGAAGATCTTTCCTCTGACCACCTCTGGGTTGTCACTCCACCACAGAGCCATAGGTAGCTCCTTTTACGCCCAAGGCAAGAAAAAAACCGTGCCCCCCAATGGCCGTGTGACGTCACCCAGCGCCATGCACGCGTGGCGTCATATAATGTCATGCGCCCCGCCTCCAGGATGTTTTTTTAAAGATATTTTTTATTTATTTTTATTTATTTATTTTACAGGGTGGGGGGGGGGTCATTGTGGTAATATTAGGGGTCTAAACATGGTACAATGTGTGTCCCCAGTTATTTATAAACACTGGAGTGATCAGCTGATCGTTCCAGCTTTTGTTCTGCATAGAGGATAGGTACATATCACTGATATGTACCGATTCTCTGCAACTCGGCCATGCACTGCTCTCCCGGGCAGAGGCAGCCAGGATCCGAGGAGAAGGGAAGGAAGCGCTTTCTTCACTAGTGATGAGCCGAACACCCCCTTGTTCGGTTCGAATTCGAACTTTCGAACATGGGAAAAGTTCAAATTCGAACTCAATGCAAGTCTATGGGGGTAGAACTTTGAAACGTTTTTGGCCATAAAAAGGGTATGATGATTCGGGTACTGCCCTGGGAGACAGGAATCTGAAAAAAACACTTTTCAAAAATAAAAATTTTATAGGAGCAGTGATTTTAATATCACTTAAAAGGTAGCAATACAAATGAAAAATTCCTTTAAATATCGTGCCTGGGGGGTTCTCTTAAACTGCCTGTAAAGTGGCGCATCTGTATGATGTATAGAACTTGCTGCAGCAAAACTGACATCTGTAAAGAAAAATTACTTTTTTTTTGAAAGCGTGCGGTTCCCCCTCCCAAACAATACCAGACCCTTTAGGTCTGGTAGGAATGTTAGGAGGGACCCTATTAAAAAAACAAAAAAAATAAAACAAAAGTGTGTGGGGTTCCCCATTAAAGTCATACCAGGCACTTAAGGTCTGGTAGAAATTTTAAGGAGGAACCCCACCCCCCAAAATGGGGGGGGGGGGAACGTGGGGTCCCCCCCTAAAATTCCATACCAGACCCTTGGTTCGAGCACAGGACTGGCAGGGCAGGAAGGGGGGCAGCAAGCCCCCCGCAAAACCAGGTTACATGCCCTCGGCACTGGGGTGTGCTTTTCTAGGGTTGCCCCTGGAAAAGCACCTTGTCCCTGTGCCGATGCAGACAAGGGCCTCTTCCTCACGAGCCCTGGGGCATTGGTTGTGGTGGTGCAGGCAGGGGGGCTTATTCACATCAGGGTACCCCTTTAATAAAGGGGCACCCAGATGGCCCCCCTTGTGAATGAGTAAGTGGTACTTGTACCCCTACCCATTCACTAAAGGGTTAAATAAAAGATTAAATAAAAACACTTTTTGACTTTAATCAAAAAATACTTCATTTGAAACAAAAACACAAAAGGATTTTTGACAAGTGCTTTATTAAAAAAAAACAAAAAAAATTGATCCATCTTTGTAATCCTAAGGTCAATCACGATGGCCAGCATTGTCCACGACGACGACTCGAAAACAATAAAAATTGAAATAATAATAATAAAAGAAAATAACGACCGTCATCCCGTCCGCTGCGCAGAAACACCCGCCGCAGAATGACATTTTGACAGGTGCTGGCAACTTATAAACAATTCGGCGGAGCTAGCAGTGACAGCTAGCTCTGCACAACTGCTTACAGTTGTAAACAGGTATGCCCTGGTTGGGCAGAGTCATCATGGCGTTGTCCAATCATGGCTCTCACAGTTCTCAGAAGGCGCATTGCCTTATGGGGCACTCAGTGGTCGAACAGCCCGCCGAACGCCCTGATAGTTTGTGTGTTCGGCAAACACACGAACTAGCGATGTTCGAGTTGAACTTACATTCAGCTCGATCAAGCCCAACCCTATTCTTCACCTCCTACTCCCATCTACCACTGCAAAAATACTCTCCCCCTTAACCTTGTTCCTCAAAGGAGAAGGATCTAATTTCTTGGAGAGGCCTAGAGATTTCTCAGCTCATCTTCTGTCTCTGGTTGCCTCTGCAAAACTTGTCCCTTTTCCAGATTGGAGGATTATTCCCTCAAAGAACAGGGAAAGGACAACAATTTTAAAAGCGCCTTTTCGGGAATCTTCTCCCTCTCTCCTCTTCAGGAGCTTATTCATCTGGAAAGGGATAGAACTGAATTCCTATACATACAACCCCCTGAAGAATACTGCCAAATGTTTCTTCAGCCTTCTTCATTCTAAGAAGTAAGCAATAGGGGACTGCACAGGAAAGTTATATAAATGTCAAATATTTTATATACCGTATAAGCACTTTCGAAACAATATTTGAAAATCTGTAATTACCTCTTTTTACATAAAATCACTGCTGTTTTAGGTCTACTAGCCTTTTAAAAGTATCTGTTAATATGTGTTTTTGCCATAACCTTTAAAATACGGCATTTTTGAAATTACAGCTGGTGAGTAACAACTTTGCTACCTGAGACTGAAAGTGTTCTAGTGCAGCATTTAAGGGAAGCTTGAGAAGAACCGGATAATGGAATTTTTCATCTTCTCTTATCACTGCAGCAGTTAAT